TAGAACTCTGAGAGAAGGCTGAGGCATGAAGTCAGAGCTAGCATGGGCTACAAAATGAATGTAAGACCAGCCTGGAGTATGTAGTGAGACCCTGTCACAGAAAGTAAGGACATCACTAAATAAAGTAGGAAAGCAAATAAGAGGCAAAAATTGTACCCAGTACTGAGAATTCAGTGCCCATTATTTTTCCTGAAAAGACATATTCATATCCAGTTTTTAATTCAATTTCTTACATGCTTGGTGAAATACCTGAGGCATAAACAGTATGTGCTTTTGTAGAGCTCATACAACTTACAGTCAAGTTCTAGATGATACAATTTGTATCACCCACTTCCAAATAATTATGAGTCAATGCACATTGACTCATGTTGAGAAATTAGTTTTCACAAGAAAAGGTAACCCATGAAATTAGTTATTTGATTTATTCTCAGAATATTATGAAGATACTGTTCCTCTCATTAGCAGAATTTTCTTCTGGCTTCTGTACAAGGGATAGTTGTACAACTGATGAGAAACTCTTCACTTTGTTCCTCTCCATATGACTTTCTTTCTCTCCTTCTATTCACCATGGGGAAGCTTAGAACAGAGTCAGAGTTCAGTCCAACTGTTTGATAGGAGATTTTCTGCATTCAGTCAGCAAACTGATGTCACTCTTGGCCCATTTTCTTTTCAGATATGCTCCCTGAAACTGCTCCTCAGTTCTTTCCCAGCATTCCTTTAAAGCATTTTGGAACAAGATTCTGGGTGTAGACTCCATATGGAAATATAAAGCCTGAGATTCCCTCTTGTCATATCACAGGGTGTAAAGGACAGGGCTCCATTGCCAGGTCATTTCTATTTATGCTCTTGTATCTTCCAAAAAGCTATGTCACACAAGTCATTTCTCCTATGACTGAGTTTCCTCACTTTTACAGGAGAAGCAGAGAAATATGCTCCCTCCTTATGTCACTGGGAATTTGAAAGTAAAGGATTTCACAGGAAGCTATACACCTGGTCCATAACCATTTTCTGTTTTGGGAAACACTGGATGATAGCAGCAGATGAGCAATGCAGTAGTTCTCTGAGATTCTTGAAGTGCCACGTTAGTGAATTTGTAACTTCAGTCCATAGATTTACAGCACGGAGAAGCTGAACCAGTCTAGCCATCTATGCAAGCAGGAACCATTCCACAACATCCAAATAAAGATGAGCCTACATGTTCTGGTCCACAGAACATTTCCTTTGACATCTATTTGTAGTGAATTCAAATCCCTGAAAATGTTTCCTTAAATTTATTAGTAACTCTTACTTCCCCTATGTCTTTTCCTTTTTCCTTGAATTTTTTTGGTCAAATGTCTTATTTAATATTCAATCAGACATGGTGGCATACATCTTTAATCCCAGCACTCAGGAGATGTAGAAAGGTGGATCTCTGTGAGTTCTAGGACAGCCCGATCTACAAATTGAGATCTATCTAGAACAGCTGGGACTGTTACACACAGAAACCCTGTCACAGAAAAACACTCATGTGTGCATATAATGTGTTTGTGTTCAACCTTCCCTTCCCATTCTTCTACCTTTCCCTCCTAATTTCTTGCACCTCTCCCTCCTTGCTTGGTCTCTCTCTCTCTCTCTCTCTCTCTCTCTCTCTCTCTCTCTCTCTGTCTTTCATATCCATTGAGTCCATTTAAAGATGACTATATGTGCATGGATGTGGGATTTTATTTCCTGGAGAAGGAGCAGCCTCTTGGGGCCAGCAAGCCTGAAGAAAAGTGACTCTCCTTCTCTAAGTATCTAACAACTGTCAATAGCTCCCAACATGGTGGTGGAACTTGATGAGCCCATCCCCTATCCATGCTGGGAATTTGTCTGGCTTAATGTTTTTCAGGTTTGTACATCCAGTCCCAGCCATTGTGAGCTCATGTGTCTAACTACCGCATTCATCAAATGCTGTTTCATTGCACACATTCACTCCCTCTGGCTCTTAGATCCTTTCTGCCTCCTTGACTTCTATGATGACCCCTGAGCCTTGGGGACATGGCTGCACTATATAGATTTATGCCCTCGACAGTCTCTTTCTTTGGTGGTTGGTTTACTACTAACATCCGCATCCTAGACAGACTATTCTTCAGTGATAACTTTTATTTTCAAGAATACAAACTGTTCCTACTTTGAACATAATTACACTTGAAATCTGAGCAATTTATCCTATTGTTGGAGTTCATTTAAGAACTCAAGAGTTGCTTTTGGAAAACACAATTTGGGAAAGGACTGGAATCCAAGAAGGAAGGATGTCTCCCAAGTCAAAGGCCCCATCTTCTTCTAGCTAAGAGTAACTCCTGAATAGCTCTGTAGGCTTCTTCCTGAATTCTCCAAGTTCAGGAACTGATTCCGCCCTCACTCTGTATATCATATCTGCTTGCGTAAAATGATCAAAATGAAATGAAATGTTCCCTCAATTCTGGACAAGGCGAAAATACACCATGACTTCCTTTGTACAGTAAGGTTTCCTGACTTTTTCTTTATAAGAACTTCCACCAGGGGGTGCAAAGGGCTCAGAAGGAGAAAACGGCATGAGGTTGGGTCTGTGTTAAAACAGAAACCCTTGTTAAACTGCTCAAAAGTTGCAGTTAACAATGAGGTACTCAGGATTTATAATTGATGTCAATTACATGGACCATTTTAAATGGAAAAGGAACGAGGTGGAGATTTCCATTTAAGGAAAAGTGAAATACTCCCTATTCCAACCCAGGAGCTCAGTGGTCAAGATTCTAAAACAAGAGTTCCTGTTTTGTTTCAGGTTAGGACAGCATCTCTTAAGTAGCATACTATTTTTTTTCCTTTTTAAAAAATTTAAATTAGAAACAAGCTTGTTTTACGTGTTAATCCCAGTTCCCTCTCCTTCCCCTCCTCTCCTGCCCTCCACCAATCCCCTCTCCCATCCCCTTTCTGCTCCCCAGTGAGGGTGAGGCATTCCATGGGGGAATCTTAAAATTCTGTCATTATTTGGAGACCCTCCTCAGTGTGTCTATGCTGAGAGAGTATCCTTCTATGTGAAGTGGGCTCCCAAAATCCATTCCTATACTAGGGATCCACTACCAGAGGCCCCATAGATTAACCAGACCTCCAAAATGACATCCTCCTTCAGGGGGTCTGGAATAGTCCTATGGTGGTTTCTCAGCTATCAGTCTGGGGTCCCTGAGTTCCCCCTTCTTCAGGTCAGCTGTTTCTGTGGGTTTCTTCAGTCTGGTCTTGACCCCTTTGCTCATCACACCTCCCTCTCTGCAACTGGATTCTAGAGTTCACCTCAGTATTTAGCTGTGGCTGTCTGCTTCTGCTTCCATCAGCTACTGGATGAAGGCTCTAGGACGGCATATAAGGTAGTCATCAATCTCATTATCAGAAAAGGACATTTAAGGCATACTATATTTTTTAAGATTTTTGCAATTAGTAGTTTAGAAGTTATGAATACAAAAGATATTTATCAAATTATAAAACTATTACACTATCTCAAATGATATAATTTATATGTGATAATTTATGTCGCAATGAGACCAACTAGGTCCCTTATTTGTGGAATGGCTCCTGCTTTACATAGATGGTTTGACTATTTGATCTCTATAGTTATTTTCTGTACTCAGCTGGTAATGTATTCACTCCACAAGCACCTGCATCTGAGATCAATCCACAGAAACTATGATGAGATGATGTCCCCCTATAAGACATGCCATTAATTATTTTCAAGCTCCTGGCTAATACTTGCTTTTCTTTTTCCTTTTTTTTTGGGGGGGGAGGCGTTCAAGACTGGGTTTCTCTGTGTTGCCCTGGCGGCCCTGGAATGCATTTGTAGAGCAGGCTGGCCTCAAAATCAAGAGATCCCCCTGCCTCTGCCTCCCTGGGTGCTGAAATAAAAGGTGTGCACTGCCACCACGCAGCCTCTTAGAATCCTTTTTAAAGTTACATTTGAGTGTCCATTTTTCTCTTAGCCACTTGTATTTATTAACTTTTCTAGGCACTACAGGTATGCAAAATGAAAATATATCCCAAATACAAAGCTCAAGAAAACAAAAATAAGTCAAATTCTGTCTTAGTGAAATATTTTTGTCTTCTAAGTTTGACAAAATAACAAGAAAAATCCATGATGTTAGTTTATAGGTGTCAAACATGAATTCTGACTAGTGTAATGGAACACCTGGTGTACCACCTCCTAGAGACCACACTGGGAGCCCCATCTCCTAGAGGCCACTGGGAACATTACCTCCTGGAAACCATTGGGAGCATCACCTCCTGGAGGCCATTGGGAACACTACATACTGGAGGCCGCTGGGAGCCATATATGATGAATGCTTTACGTTGTAAAGCTTTCAAAGTCACTTTAATGTTGCCTGATGATAACACAACTAAAAATGACTCCGGCTCAGAAGCTGATTGGGCTCTGATTTCCAGTAGTTCCCCTTATGCACTCCAAGGATGCCATGACAGCATTAGCATATGGAGGTCTGAAAGAAGTCCCCCTGCATTCAGAGTACCCTGCTTCCCAGAGTAGTAGAGCACTCTGAATTGAGCAACACCTGCACATTCACACCGTAGAATTTGATCCCACCGATTATAAACCCTCCTAAGAGAAGCTGAATTACAAAGGAGTCTACTCTGGACCTCTAAAAAAGGCAGAGTGAGAATAGGGGGGATGGTTATCTGCCTGTTGTCTCTGACATTTAACATTAAAATGTCCCTCACTAAATTCTCCACACTTAATAATATCTGCTTTTAGAATCAAAGCTATGGCAATGAGGCATTGTCTTTCCACATCTAGTGGTTTTGAATTTACCCATCTGCTCAGTGACTTGAATGAAGTAGACATAGGGTAAATACCCTCTTAGTATATTGGGAACAGATCTGAAAGGGAGTAAGCAGGTGGGTATTATGGAAAAAATAGATGTGTTAACTATAAAGTTTAAAGCCTCAAACAATAGTCTTTGGCTGTCTAGAATTATACACTATTGCTCTTTCTTTATTACTAGGTGTGTAAATTATAATGACCAACATCCTGATGCCTGGTATATCTGGTAAGGACTTCTTCATATTGTTTTATAAAAATTGTGGCTGTCTATATATGCTTATTCTCCTAGATAACTTGAAACAGCATGTGCAATCAACAGCTGAAGGGAAATTTAGGGGAGTGTGAGTCAATAGCTATAGAAATATCAATATCAGGACAGTGTTTGCTAAGTGCCTCGTATGATAAACAATCTATTGTTTTCAAGACTCTGATTTTATTCTATAACTGGAGTTTGTTAATGATAAAATAATTGTTCCCTCTTGAGATCTTTCTAAATTATTTTTCTACTTCAGATTGTAAAACCCACTCAACATAGCCAAATGTATCTTTAATGAGATATTCCTCCAGAAAACTTCAAACACTTCTTCTAATTCCCTAAATTGTAACTTTTATAGCTTCCAAACTTAACATCAACCAATTCTGTTAATAAAATACTTAATTCCTCAAAGGCAGAGATACCATCTTGAATCCTTAACCCCAATATCTCAAATATTTGCATTTGTTTAAATACTAAATTGATAGAATGTTGAATAAAAAAAAGGAAAAAGAAGGAAGGGGAAAAGGAAAGACAGACCTCACTTTTTAGATGAACTCTCTAGTTTTCAAGGAACAGAGTGTCACCAGCTATCAGCACCAGCCCTCCCTGAAAACCTCCAGGTCTATTGGCCATGTAGGATGGTAAGGGATTGCTCCAAGAACTTGGCATTCCAGTTTGCTTGCACTTAAGCATAGCTGAGTCCTGTGTACTTTCCAGGCCTTACAGAAACTCAAACTCCTAAATACTGCACCTCACTTCTCTATTGTTACTTTTGATGCCAGGTTCCTACTGTGGATTTTCTTGGTGGTTCTCCTCTGTGGAATAGTGCTTCTCTGTCTCCGGTGCTGGCTGAAAAGGTGCCGAATTGATCATCCCAGACGTACCATGGCTGTTTTTGCTATCGGAGACTTGGATCTCATCCATGGTGAGTTGTCTGTGCACTTCTGGAGTCCTCTATGAAACCTTGAAAAACTATTATTGCAAAGCAAATGTATTCACTTAAAAAATGCATACATATTGGGAGACTCAAAGACATGTATTGAAGAGAGACCATATAAGAAGAGAAGGGATGACAACAGAAAAGAAATATGCCTCATTAACTCATAGGAAATGGCAAAAGAATCTAAGCAGTTTGTTCGATCAACAAATGACTAGAAATGTGCAGAGATGAACACTTCAAGTGAGTGGCAGGGCTTACAGTTCAGAAGAGCATCTCTTGGCTTTGAAGTTACTCTACCCTATGCTGTAGTTAGAATCTTCATCATTAAGCCTTTGCCAACACATTTAACTCATCTGACATAACACCAAATCATATAGTCAGTTGCCAATGCAGAGTCAGAAACCATTAGGTTTGGGTACAAGGACAGTTGTGATGTACGTTCTCTGCAGAAAGATCAAAGAATCCTGATTCTGCCAGCACCCATCCTATCTATTCCAAATCATGCCCTGTCCATCATTTTCCAGTTTTCATTCAGGGTTAAAAGAAAGTTATTTGTAGCAGTCAGTCTTTTCAGTAAGCAGAGTGAAATCCATTTATCACTTGATTGTTTCTGAGTGGCTACAACTGATAATCATTTCTTAACCCTTAAGCATTGTCCTTTCACCCAGAGATGGTGAGATTTTCCCTCCCAGATTTTACTTTATCACACAGCTACCCAAAAAGTTCTTGGTAAAAATTAACTTGGCTGCCTTTCAGAAACTTGAGCCAGTGTAGAATTTTCAATATCTAAAACAGAAAAACAAGCAACTACATTGACAGGGTTAAAAGTAAGCTAAGAGAGTTTAACTTGTACAGGTTAGTATTCTTGAGATTCACTGATTCTTAATCACCTGTGGAGTGTTCAGACACAAAGAGGATATCTATATCACCCCTCCAATGCTCAAGGACCATTGCAGAAGAGAGAGACAAAAGATCATCAAAGCCAGAGGTCAGGGTGGACTGGAACAAAACAGTGTCTTCTGGACATAACAGGACCACAGCACTCATGAACTCACAAAAGCCATGGATGCCTACACAAGACCTCCTCAACACAAGTCAGCCAACATGCCATCATGGGGGGACATTATAAGTTGAGGAGCTATTGGCAATTGATGGTCTCTGTGGGGTCATACAGCAAGTTCGCTTTAAGGGTACAGCCCCTGGTAGGCTAATTATGTTCCAGTGGATGGTCAGCACAAATGGGACCCGTGGGTAATTAAAAATTAAAAAAAAAGATGATATAAGGTTGGAAGTAGGTAGGGAGGTAGATGTGGATCTGGGAGTAGTTGGGGGTAAGGGGTAGAGCTGAGAGTGGGTGGGGAGGTGGTGGTAGATTTGGGTGTAGGTAGGGGTGAAGCTAGGAGTGGGTGAGGATGTGGGGTGGAGCTGGGGGTTGGTGGTGGTGGATCTGGGAGTGAGTGGGGAGGTAGGGGTGGGGCTGGGAATGGGTGGGGAGGTAGGGGTAGGAGTAGTTTCCAGGTGAACAATTATGATCATGTACACATGAATGAAATTCTCAAAGACTTAACAAAAATATATGTAAAAGAAAAATATTGGGGGCTGGAGAGATGGCTCAGTGGTTAAGAACACTAGCTGGCCTTCCAGAGGTCCTGAGTTCAATCCCCAGCCACCACATGGCAGCTCACAACCATCTGTAATGAGATCTGGTGCCTTCTTCTGGCATGCAGGCATACATGCAGACAGAACACTGTATACATAATAAATAAATACATCTTTTTTCTAAAAAAGAAAACTATTTAATGATTCTTTTTGTACAAACACTTCCCAGCATGAAGTCATTACTTAACAAGGATAATATACTATCAATTTGGGAATTTATCTTTTTTTGGTAAAGGATAATTAAATTCTACAATAAAAAATAAGTCTTTCTCCTAAAATAAAAATTGCTTTTCATGTAGCATCAAGGGAAATGGGGTCACTAACCTAGCAAAATGTCAAAGGGATATGCATGGAAATATTGACTTCCTTTTCTTTATTTAAATAGAGTTAGTTAATGAATGTAATGTTCTTACTTAAGAGTAAACTTATTCATAAAGAAGAGCACACAGCCTTATTTTCTCAGCTCCCCCTACTCTCTGAGGAAAAGTCTTCCACTAGACTACCTTAACTCTCAAGAAAGTCTCCTGTATTTTAAACATCACCCTTCCTGATGGTTCTGTTACAGTTTTAAAGACTGTTGTTGCAGCCATGATTGTGTAATGTTTTTTATTTGTTGCATGGTGTATCACATGCCTGTTGTTGAACTTCCCTGTACAGCTTCAGAGTAGAGGGAAAAACATTAACTCTAACACACTACCTCAATAATCTGCATAGATGTCCCTAAGATCTGAGCCTCAGAATCACGAGCTCTGTATTAGGCTGATGTCATTATAAACATAAATAAATAAATACCAGAAAGAAATTGTCTTCTAAAAAAGCTAATATTTATTTCAGACCTACCAAGTCCTAAGCAATAATTGGAGACTTTCTGACCTTATCTCTATTTCATAAATGTATAAATGTCAAATTAAGAAAGTGCTCATCAGTTCTCTTAGAGGAGATCTGGTTCGCCTCCCCTCTCCTCTCTCCTCCTTCCCTCCCTTCCTCCCCCCCCTTAGTTAATGTATTAGTAGACCAATGCTATGAAATGGGGGTAGGAAGCTACACAAATTAGGTGTGGCAGCTCATATCTTAGCCAGCTCATGCCACAATACATCCAAACATTCAGATATTTAAAGAGCCATCCCATATGATAGGGATTGCATTCTAGGAGCTTAATTCCTGTCATTTTCGTCTTTAGCTCCCAAGCCCACTGGAAAAGCTTCTGCTTCTTATTTTTAAAGAAATACTTGCACTCTTGCAATGTCTCTTCTACAGCTGTGCATCGTGGACAGCACAGGCTCAATTACTTCTTCTCAGCTCTATTCCTGTGGCCGACTCAGAATGGACAGAAAGCAGCCCTCCCTTCTTCCACTCCTCTCCCAGCCTGACTGAGGGTGTTCATCTTCCTGAGGAGGCAGCTTGGGATGCAAGAGCTGACCTATAGGCATGCCTTTTGTCATTTGTATTTCTCTTTTGGGAAACAAAATGCAGGAGACATTTTAGACAGTGGCATTCTCTGTCAACCTAGGGAATGCCAATGAGCAATTTCAGGAAGTAAATTCCAGAGAATTAATATTTTGGGGCAATTTGCATCCTAAACCTGCACTGTATTTTCATACTAGATGAGACTTTCACTATATTTTCATAATCTGAACATATCTGTTTTGTTTCAAGTATTTACTCTTCCAGGAAATGAGAGCCTTCCATGATCTTGTAATTCCTGCAAGATCCAGTAAGGATCAAAATGACCATATCTTCCTCCAGAACTCCTACAAAGCATTTGCTCTCAGTCTGAGCCTGAGCCTAAGCCTAAGCCAGAGCCCAGTCACTGAGCAATTCATGGGCCTACTCCAAAGTTATGGGAGTGCATTTTTGAGTTTTCCTGACATTCACTATTAAGAGGGAATAAATAAATAGAAATCATTTGAATGACACTGATGAGCAACTAGAATATACAATAGGGGTCCTGACTCCCTGCCATCTCTGACACACAGAGAATGTTGCCCCTGGAGAATGTGAAGTAAGCCATTGGAAACATCTTAATGGACACAACCCATTTGCTGTATTAACCTTCAGTTCCTCCTGGACCTTTGTTTTATTTCTTCAAAAGTTATTTCACTTTAATATCACTACTTATCACATATATTAATTGAAATTGCTCTGTCATTCTGACATAAAAGTGAGAGGTTTGAGACTCAGGATCTCACAAATATTGCCCTCAAAAATGAAAAGCCAAGGGGAAATTTTAACTGACTATTAAAGGCTGGAATTCACTGAACTTTGCTATTACTAAAATATATAAAATAGGCAATTATATAAAATATTGGCATTTCCTGCCAATATTATATTGCTCAGGTTGCCAATTTATTTGATTAGAAATACTAAAGAGAAAAAGTAGGCACAGGGCTCTGTGTCTGTATATATAATGTATACTTAAGGAAGGTGTTGCCAGCACAGTCCATATTGATGTCTGCTGAGATGTCAACTCTGTGAAAGGTCCCTGAGACCTCAGTGAAACACTGCAGACCCCAGGAGCATCTCCTGGTGCAGTGATGGCATCTTTCCCAGCTGACTCAGCACTCAGGTAAATGGATCCTGCACTTCCCTTCTAGCACCTATGCCTTTGCATGAAGTATTCTAGAGTCAGAAGACTCCCTGTGTAGCCACGAGATCCAGTAGAAGAGACTTTGACATTTATTGCACTCAGTCTTCCCTTTTTCTGTTCATGCTTGCTATATAATATTCATTATTCACCAGAAAGGAAGAAATAATCCCACTGTTACACTTTGCTATGGGTCACTTTGTGTATCCACTAAATTCATCTTATCAAGTTCTATTGGTTATTTGTATTGGGACTTTCTTTGGACCACCAGCTCCCAAATAATGACACAGAGACTTCATATTAATTATGAAAGTATGGTCTTAGCTTAGGCTTGTTATCAACTAGCTCTTAAAACTTAAATTAACCTATTTATATTAATCTACATTCTGCCACATAGCTTGTTACCTTTCCTCAATACCATCTGTCCCACTTCCTCTGTATCTGGCTTGCAAATCCTGCCTCTCTTCTTCCCAGAGTTCCTATCTCTAGAAGTCCCACCAATTCTCTCCTGCTTAGCTACTGGTCATTCAGCTCCTTATTAAACCAATCATATGGTGCCTAGGCAGAGATACATCTTCAGAGTGTACAAAAGGAGTATCCCACAACAGTTAGTACCTCAGAGCATGAAAGTATTTGGAATTATAGTCCTGAGAAAGCTGTTAGGGAATATTATTTTAAGGTGTGTGACTTTTGGTTATGCTGTGGAACATTTGCTTAATGATGCAAATATGTGTGACTTTTG